TTTAATTCCGTGAGGTCGGAGTCGCGCGTATATTTATGCAGCTGATTGTACAAGAGGAAACTTGTAAAACATTTTATTGTAAAATAACAGTCTCTTGTGACTTAACCCACGCGATCTTTAATCCGATACCCGTAGAGCACCGCTTCAAGTAGCAATTACGGCCACTTGGTTTTAATTCGCAGATCTAGCACGATACAGCAAAGGGTTAACTTTGTAGTACATTGTTAACCTCTTTTAGATTACCTTGGAGTTAACCATTTTAAAATGAACTATGGTAAGATGTCCTAGGACGTCCCTAGCCGATGATCTAGGCGATATGGCTAGTATTCAGAATTCATTTTTTTTATTGCAAAGGGAACTAATTTGTAATGACATACTAACATGGAGTTTTTAAGTTATCTATCAAGCCAGGGGCAGGTGACTCCCTCCCTTGCCCGCCTATGAAGACGTCTATAGAAATCTCTACATTGGACGATCGATACTAAAAAAAATATGTCTACAGTTTTTTAAGTCTACGTTGCATTGTTACATTTTAATAAAATACTTCTAGACGACACTTGACTTTCAATGTTCGGTCTAGAGTTTTAAATAAAGCATATAAACTTTGTAACTTGTTACACGGTTTGATTATAATTCAATTAAGCGTAAGCGTCAATAGCCTAATGGTTAAGGGTACGGATTTCCGATCACGTGGTCGGGGGTTCGAATCCCGCAATTCGACTATTGTCGTAAACCATATCCTAGGACAAGCCTAGAGCTTAATTGGAATGGTAAAATAAATATTGGCAAATTTACTAAAAATCTGCTAATAATAAAAAAAAATGCTTACTTGAACTCATTGTATTGCAAACTGTTTCGTATGTCTTGTGGTTTTGTGGCCAAGTGTTCGTTATCAAATAATTATGTTTAACCACATTCAATTGTTTGACACGTTTAAGAAAACCGCATACAATTATCAGTGGATTTGTACCGTAAAAGTTCTAGCACTAAAATTATTAGTACCGGCAAAGATTACTAAACTGACACTTCAATAACTCACATAAAAATCATTCACACAAACTCACTCAAAATGATACATCGCACTTTCGACTTGTTTATTGTCTCTTTTTTCGTCTATTAATTACGTTCTGGAGATAACTCTTAAGAAACATCCATCCAATCTAAACATTCGATTTTGTAATATAATTAAGAAATACAATTTGTTGAACTAGTTAATTCTAGTTTATTCATCATCGTCAGCTCACTTTACGTCCCCACCGAGGCGCTCGGAGCCTACCCTAAATTACGGGTGACTAGGCCATAGTCAACCACGCTGGCCAAGTGCGGGTTTGTTAACTTCACACATATCCTTGAATTTCTTCTCAGATATGTGCAGGTTGCATCACGATGTTTTCCTTCACCGTAAGAACGTCGAATAAATGTACATTTCTAAATCGAAAATCGAAAAACACATTGGTACATGGCAGGATTCGAACCCAAGACCTGCAGAGTCCTGCAATTCAAGTGCTTGACCCCTGAGCCACCGACATTCTAATTCTAGTTTATTAGCCTAACTTATTTTTCGTATATTCTGTGTTTTGAGAGTAGAATGAACAACTAGATGTCTTTTGTAGCGTTAAGTTTGCACATGCTCAGTATATGCTGATTAATGTTCTCTGGCCGGTGAATCTCGCTTTGATAATGCAGCGCTTTGTGCAGCGAATACTGTTTTGTACAATGAAGCAGTTGTTTCATAAATTGTGTGTTGGTTTTGTAATTGTACGTTCAGGCGATGTCTGTAAAAAAATAATTGAAAGTGCCAGTGATAACTGACCTACGCCAATTTGGATAAAAAATTGATTGTTAGTTATTCTTTCAAACTGAGGCTACATAACGTAACAATAAAAAATGTACTACATTACTCTGAGGTGCAAAATCGAACAAGATCTCTTAAAATTATATTCCGTTATTTTACAAAGTAACGAAGGTTCTGCCAAGTATAAAGACATGGGAATCGGCCAGTATTGACCCGAGGCTCAAAAGGGGGGTTCGAAAATACCAAGTAACATCACTAGGAGGGACGGGGGCTAAAATAGTATGTGTTGAAAATTCCAATATTACTTTATACAAAAAAAAAACATACGTGGTTTTAAGTATAGGGGTAGTGTAAACCTCACCCCTCATCACCGGACTTAATGGACTACCTCATATTATATCGATATATTTTCTAGTAGGTTTTTTACTTTTCCATTCATGTCTCTTAGTAACGTTTTTATTGTAGTTTTGACCATAACGACATCAGTTATGCAATAAGGTCTACATGTAATTACCATACTGACAGTGACCCTTGTTAAATCATTCGTTGCCTTTTTCGATGCAATACTACAGTTGATATTGACCTTCGAATAATCTATAAAAAATGTTGTAACGCAAAATGTGATCACGACGTTCAGACGTAAGGTCTGCTGATAAGTTTTTAAGTTATGTGTTGTGATAGAAGATTTTATACCTTCTATTTCAACGAAAAAGGTCTCAAAATGAATGGAAATAACAGTTTCTAATGAATATCAATCGATTATACAGTTAGTTTTCACTGCCGAAACACTACACATATTGTTATATCTGTTTTTTCAAGGAGAAATACTTTTTATACAGGTGTTTCTGCAATGGAAACCCACGGTTATATTACCTTAGTAAATATGGAAGTATTCTCTTGCTCTACATTAAACGATATATCTACAACCGAGAGAACATTTAATTTATTTCGTTACTACGTGCAAGCCTTTTAATGCAAGCTTATGCAATTTTTATTACTACACGACGAGCAATCGAGTTACAAGCTACATCTTGTTTATTCAGCTCTTTAGATATTAAATATCTTTAAAATACTGTGTACTAGGAGTAGGGTAGGTGCATCGGATGGTTGGATTGCGTTAAAGGTGAAATGATCGAGAAGGGAGTGATAAAAGATGACCGAGATCGATTTGGTGGACGAAAACTGTTACGCCTACCTTACATGATAAGGACAGGGACATGATCATGATGATGAAAAAGAACTCATCACTATTTAATTAAAATCTAAAATGTTAAATAATCTAACAATATTTTAACTAAATTTTAAATACTAAGCACAGTTTTAGTTTACTAAAAGCCGACATTTGAGTTTCTGTAATACATTGTCATAGTCAACCGCGGTTGTCATAAATTATAGTATTTCTTTTCGAAATAAATTGTTTTTTAGTGTTTTATTCTATAAGTTTTATAAAAGTTATTTTTAGTTGGCGAAATTAGTACTCAAGTTTCAAATAGTCCATTAACATGCGAACATGTTTGTAAAAATGTCGTGAATTTAATTTATTTTTATAGTTATATTACGATTTAAGTTTTAATTTCGCTCGTATAAAACTTTACGTCTAATATATCATAATATTTTATGATGAAACTTGGCTTGAAATGCAAATATTTATCTTCGAAGCGCATTAAATTCTTCGTTACGTTAACTCTATTAGCAAAAAACATGACTTTAGATATAGTTATGCTAAAGGTATGTTTCCATTGTGCGGAATACAGGATTTGATATATTATACTTTAAAAAAGCACTTTTAGTTTTTTCCAATTACCAAATTATCGAGTCGGTTTTGGGTATATACTTTAAGGTTAACATTAGTTTAGTAGAGTACAATTAAACTAGTTTGTTTTCTAATTTGGGTTCTTTGTAATATGTTATTTTAGTGGAAATCCAGCTTAAGTCACTGACTAAATTAAAGCGTAACGTTGGACCGACGTCCACCACGTTACTGTAACGACTTGCCTCTTTGACTTGCAAATGTTGTTTAACATACATTATATTTCTTAATATAGGTGTTAGCCTTTTCAAGTATTAGATTTTAGAGTTTTGTTTGCTTAAAGTTCATATAAATGAAGATACAAATTTATTTCTAAAATCATACTTGCAATGTAAGATTTACTAAAAGGCCTTGTATGTTTAACTACTAGCTATCGCAAGCGACTCAGTCCGCGATGGATTAAAAAAATCTTATTAATTAGCTTATGTATTCTTCCAGACTATGTTCTGCATTTGTGCTAAATTTCATCAAGATCCGTCGAACCGTTCCCTCAAACATCCATCCATCTATACATGCAAATAGATATCAGTGACAGCGAACTTAATTTTTCTAAAGACTTGATTTTCTGCTATCTGAAAGCAAGCTAAACTATGTGCAAGTTGAGCTATTTTTTCTCTCTTATAAAATACTATGTCCTCCATGTTGTAATCATAGTTTATTTTATCTAAGTGATCAAAAGAGATTAGGATACATTTATCTCGAGAAATCTTTAGTGTTATTTTGCATACGTGCGTGCAGTTAGCGACAGATCCCACACTGCGCCTATTTTGGTGTAGCTATTGTTGGACCAGTTACACTTGTATAAATACGGTAGATCGATCACTTTATGACTCACAATACTTTAAGTTATTCAAACTTTAAATAGAGATTATTATAAACTAATATATAAATGGGTGAAACACTCATGTTCGTCCGGTATCGGCACCGACTAGTATCAAGACCAGCGGGGGCCCTTCATCACCCGAAACTAGTCGGTGCCGACACAGGATAAACATTTATTTAAATCTTATTTTATTAGATTTATTATTAGATTAGACCTTTTTAAAAAAAACTTCTCAACATACAGTATTCGTTATCTTGCCAAAAACTTAAAAAGTCGGAATAAAAGAAAATAAGTAATAATGTTCCTTAATGTAAATGATAGGGATGTCGATGTTAAGTATCGATAAAATTGTCAATATTTTTTTTGTAGTGTTTGTTCTCTTCCCTTCCAACGCTTTTTCTAAGTAAATATTATTTTTATGTGCATCCTTCAGCAATTGCGTATGTGAAGCGGCAACGGTCGCTTCGCTATTTCAGCGATTTCAGGTAGCCGATCGCTCGTTTGCCACCTTATAATAAAAAAAAACATGAGATTTGTTTAGTGATGTGATAAATTATTCTTTTTTTTTTCAGACAGATTGTACTTTGCGACCCTGAAGACTGGCTATAAACCGAAACCCACGCGGAACAGTAAATACTTCCATATAGAAGATGAAATTGTCTACGAGAATTTTTACTTCGATTTTGGACCTTATCATCTATGCCATTTGTATCAATTTTGTAATAAACTCAACGATGAGTTGGAGAAGAATCCGAAAAAAAAGATTGTCTTCTATACTAGCAGTAATGAGACGTTGCGACTTAACGCTGCTTACCTTATTGGGAGTTATCAGGTATGGTTATTTCTATTTTTTTTGTGTAATGAAAGCTTTTGTAAAAGTTTAAATCACTTTGTATTTATCTCTAATACTTTTAACATCAATACTCCTATTAAAACAGTTTTTCTTCAGTTTATCTACCAATTTTTACAAAATACAATAATTTAATAGTCGTCATACATTGGATACGGCATCTCTTTGTTTACATAATTTATAGTTGGTTTCTGACACCAAAATCCTTGTCTTAAAATCTATAATCATCCCTCTCATTATCTATGAGAAAAGAGAGATAACATGTCTGATCTAAATTAGGCGATCAAATAGAATTGCTTGAGATGATAATTATAGTGTTGTTTACATCGCCTTTCTTTTTAATTTACAGATAATATATCTTGGCGGTTGTCCAGCAGCTGTTTACAAACAGCTAACAGAAGGCAGTGAATGGTCACTGTTGAGTTTCAGAGACGCGTCAGGTGGCCCACCACTGTTCGATATCTCCCTACTAGATGTGCTTAGAGGTCTAAAACTGGCGCACGATGCTAGATTCTTTGATTTTCAACACTTCGATGCTGAACAGTATCTGTACTACGAGGTTTGTTAGTTTAAAATATTTTTTCTTTCTTTTATTGTTTTTGATTGCTTTTTATTTTTAGTAAGAGAAAATATAAAGCAAATATTTTAATTAATTTATCTTCCTAATATTATAAATGTGAATGTTTAGATGGATGGATGGATGTTTGCTAGAAGGTATCTCCAGAACGGCTGTATGGATCTCGCTGAAATTTGGCATAGATGTAGAGTATAGTGTGGAAGAACACAAAGGCTACTAAGTTTTTTTTTAATTCTGCGCGGCCGGAGTCGCGGGCGACAGCTAGTCTACATATGAATTGCTCACATTTGTATTTGAAATGGATAATAATATTGTTACATACAAGCTCATAAAAAAATATACGCAACTAATATACATACAAATTAATTCCAGAAAGTAGAAAATGGCGACTTAAACTGGATTATTCCAGGCAAGATGCTAGCATTTTCCGGCCCTCATCATAGATCACGTTTAGAGCGTGGTTATCCATTACACAGCCCAGAACATTACCACCAATACTTCCGTACCCATCACGTGACCACCATAGTCCGTCTCAACAAGAAGTCATATGATGCTAAGCAGTTTACAGCTCACGGTTTTGAACACAGAGAGTTGTTCTTTGTGGATGGCTCAGTACCATCGGATCATATCGTTAATCGATTCATAAGGATCGCTGAAGTCGCTAAAGGTGCGGTGGCTGTACATTGTAAAGGTAATACTTTTTAATAATGTTTCACTAATAAACTTATATTCAGTTTAAAAATTTAAAAAAAAAATGGGACCTTGCAAGCAAATCCATTCGAAAAAAAAAATTCAAAATCGGAGCACTACGGGACACATAAAAATAATCACCTTAATTTTTATGTGTTTAATAACATAACCTCCTTCTTTTAAAAAGACTAAATAAATTTATCTGTGCAAAGGTCAAATTCTCTTTTTCTTGATAGGATGGGATAAGGAACTGGATTTAACCCTTGGACCTATAGGAAGGGGAATTATCTTTCTCTACACCTCTTTCTCTGCCAATATAATTTAAGTAATTTATCAAAAATTGTTGAAAAATTAAGTTAATGGGTACCGGTCATTTTGTTAGTTTAGGAAAATCTGATTTATCACCTTATATTATAAAAAAAGTTTGATCTTCATTGGTTATTTAATATTTGTTTCCTAAAAATTTATAATTTATATAATTAGTAATCATTGTGATCAAGCCATCTACAGAATAGTTACAAGTCAGTACGACATGTTGAATCCATAGATTCGGTCTATGGTAATCAATTCTCATTAAGCTATTGATCAATAGGCTGATTGGCTCAACGGGAAACACCCTGAGATTTAATAATCTATTTTAACTTATGATTTTCTAGTAGTCTAGCTATATATGAGTAATATTGTTTGTTTGTATGTTAGCGGGTCTGGGTCGCACTGGTACGCTGATCGCTTGCTACATGATGAAGCACCACGGGTTTGCGTCGCGCGAGGCCATCGCCTGGCTGCGTCTCTGCCGACCAGGCTCCGTCATCGGACATCAGCAGTGGTTCCTGGACAAGTAAGTGCTTTTCCTTATTTTTCTTACGTCAAATCAATTTTGAATAATGTCCATAGACTCCTGTATCATGTGACGTCATAGCTGACAAATAAAAAAATATCTAACGTATAATAAATTCTTATAAATGCGAATGTTTGGATGGATGGATATTTGATAGATGGTATCTCCGGGGTGGTTGAAGGGATCTCGCTGAAATTTGCCATATATGTAGAGGGTAGTATAAAGGAGCACATAGGCTACTAATTACGTTTTTTGTTAATACCACATGGACAAAGTCGCGAGCGATAGCTAGTTACATAATAATAATCTCAAAATAAATTTAAGGCAAAATTCTGATAACTAAAATGCCTAGGTTGATTACAAGTTGACGTAATGCGCAATCTGTCGATGATATTAACACAATTATGTATTACATTCCAGTATCCAAGCTCGCATGCACGCGGAGGGTGAGGCGTACCGTCGCCGGCACAACATCACGTCGTTGCCGGTGTTCACACGCGGGGTATACTGCGACCTGCCGCCAGAGCCCGACCTGCCCGACCTGACCGACAAGCCCCCCATCGTCACTGACAAGCCTGTCTCCCTGCAGACTATACTGCATAGCAACAAGAACGGCAAGGTGGGTCGACATTGCTTAAAAAGTGATAAACGTAAGCTATTGACGTATATCTGCAATTGCAGAAATTTTTGGCCAGTGGTCTCTTCGCTATATCGGCGAATTCAGGGTTCTAAATTAAAAAAAGGTCTTGACAGACAGACGGACGGACAACAAAGTGATCCTATAAGGGTTCCGTTTTTTTCCTATGAGGTACGGAACTCTAAAAACTGTATAAATGGCGTTTTTGTTTCCTTTCGACATTATATTTTCTTATGTATGATTATTTAAATTTTAATAAATCATGAAATTTACAAATGTGACCTTTTGAACTCTGTTTTCTCGTAAATTGAGTAAAAAATATGCATCTCATTTCAGATCGACAACGCGAATGTTTTAAATGCTAACGAAGCGGACGCTGAGAACAATGTGACGTCAGTGATCGGCAAATACAAGACCACGGCCACGCTCATGCAGCCTCCGAAGACTGTCTTCGCTTCCAAGATGAATTACATGATGCCGACCAACAACATACGCAATGCCAACAACACCAACCTCAAACCACAACCCAGAGCCATCAACTCAACTCTAAAATCACACTATGCAGCTAAAACTTCAACTTTTCCCCCAACTAGAGGCACGTCACAAGCTAGCAAATTAGTCGCCAGCGTCAAATCCTCCTTCACAAGTAAAAATAGCTTTCACGGCCAAAGAGCAAATCTCGCACGGCCTGCTCTAAACTATACCCACGGCAGTAGTCCTTTGAAAACATTCACAAGAAAAGCCGTCAGCGTCAGTAAAATGACGTCAAACGATACTTCAGTCATCAACACCCTTAGTAATGTCACGTCACTCTCCGCTCTCACAGAGAATTGTCATCTTAACGGAAAGAACCGACTGCCTTCCGAACCGAATTTAAAAACTGTGACCCAATCGAAAACTGTAAACAACGTCACCGGTAGAAAGAAATTAATCATCCGATCGAACTCCAGCTCGAGAAAGAAGTTGCCGAAAAGTCTTCCAAAATCTGGACTCGAGGCAACACAAGATTTATCATCCAGTGATACAAACATCACGAACATATCCGCAGACTCTCTAGATACACCGTTCAGATTTAGACGGAAAAGGGACAAATCCAGCAGTCCTGAACCTATGGACTGCATATCCAATTCCATCATCACAGCTGACGTTACACCGGACAATTTTGAAGAAACTAACAATTCACAAGGGAATAAATTATACAAAATAAAAGCGTTAAGGAAAAAATGTCCCACTTTCGGAGTCAGTATTCTAAAGCAAGATAGCGTTCAAACGCGGTCGAGTACTGGTGCGAGTACCTCCACTGTGAAGAAGAAATGATTAGTGCAGGAAATAGATTTAGTTATTCCATGTTATAGATATTCTAATATTATAGAGGCCTCGCATAGCGCGGTGTTAAATGTTGATGAATTTGTTTAGGCGCTTTCTAACATTCATCAGCTAGTAGACAATGTATGTCTAAACAAATTTTTTCGACATTATTGTACAGATAATATAAATATAACCCCACAAATTAAAAGCCTAATTGAAAAATTTTACAGAATATATATTATTGTTGCGTCAGATCGATTTATAGTCTAATATCGTCTCATTAAGGTTATAAAATTTTCTATAACTGTTTTAAAAAGTATTTTTCTTTGTAGACTTTTTAGTTAGATAAAATTGTTATTATTTTTAAATCTATTTGAAATCCGCTATATAATACGATAGGTTTCTTTACATATTTATGGTATCAGAATGAAATGCAGACCTAATAACTTATTAAGGTTAAAAAATGAGATATTATATATTTTTCTTTCATTGACTACTATATACTACTACTATACTATATTTTCAAAAGACTATGGTGGAATATAAAATTGGTTTTATATTCAATTTCTATGCATGTTATATAAAAATATATATATACAATGACATAAAACTTTGTTCACATGTAACAGTGTATTGTTTAAATCTCGTTATATGATAATATTTGATTTACATATATAAATTAAGACATTACAAAAACGCGTACATAATTCTTTTATAATTTGTTAATTTTGCATTATTTTTATTTTTTACGGATCTAGTTATATTAGGATTATTTACTTGTTAAGTTTAATGGGATATATTAGATGATAATTTGATCATCGCGCGTAGGAAATAAGAAATAATATTTTTATAAATAACAACTTTCTATGTGATTATTGAATGCCATTTTTCCTTAGCCTCTATAGAACTTGTTATTTCCATATTATAAGTATTAATTTCTTTAATATATGTTGTATATTGTTGTAGGTGTATCTGTTTGTGGTAGGATTTTTTGGTAGAATTTCCGATTAACCATAGACATTAGTAGCTTTTTTGAGCTTATAAACATGGGCACTGAGATACATTGGATTTGGTGATTTTTTCTGTATTGTAGGTAAATATATAGTGATAAATATTTAAAAAAAATATATCAGGATTTATTAAATGAAATTTCTATTTGGCTTCAAGTGAAGCCGGTAGCTATTGCTATCTCTTACCGTCTTATATTATACGAGATATGTACGGTGTGTAAACACCGCAAATATCTCACCGCATGGCTTTCCATTATCGGCAGTTTACTGTATTTTTAACACGTGTCAACTTCAACTAACCATCAAAAACCATTTAACCGTAGCTTGATGGAGAAACCATACGTTTATACTTGGCGTATTGGTCCTTCAAGCTGGAACATCTTGTGTGTTTTGTGGTGTTCCAAATTTTGGTGTGTTCTTTTCAATAAATTTTCTTTAGCTGTCTGCATAGAATAAATTGGATGTAACCGTCGACATATAAAATTAGCTCGTCTGGTTGTCTCTGGATCGGCTATTTTCTTGTTTACACTTTTCCATTCTGGTTTGCTTATGGTCTAATATTGTAAATTTGCCTTATAAATCGTGGTTATCTTAAAGGATGAAGTTGTTATGTATGGAAGTATGTGATGTCAAATCCCTTGCTTTGGTTTGCTTTGGATCTGAGTCCGAATACTTGCTGGCAGTTTTTTCGCGGCAAGGCTAGCCCTTGGGCTGCGTTTTTAGTGATGAAGTGACAGCGCAAAGGTCTCGTCAATCGTATGGTACTTTAATGGGTATTGATTTGTGTGATTGATGACGCGTTTGATAAATGTGGTAAACTGCCGATGATGGAGAAATAAGTATTGTGAGGTGTTGACATCGTACAAGACATGTATTTTATTGAATTATCTTGCCTTTTATTGCTCAAGCAAATATCTCAGTGTACATGAACAGTCAAACTAATCCAATGTCACAAATATGCTAGTTATTCACAAAGGAATTTATTCGTTATAGTTTCACCTTGCCTTTAAGTTAGCCGTTAGTCAAATAGTACAGTCGTGGTGAAAATTATAAGTTTCTGTAATTTTTTTATTTTAACTAAACTTTTTGTAAAATCGATTAAGGATGATACAATTTATTTGGTCCATACAAGTTCTTAAATAGAGTTGTATTTATAATATAACAAATGGAAATGTTTTGTCCAAACACATATTTTCTTCCTTCTTATTATCTGTGAAAATACTGACCTGTATAAATGGACTGGCCATAAGGTGTATTATTTTGTGCCTGATTTTCGCCATTTTGGCGCTGATGGTATCGGTTTGTACCAGTATTGTGGCGAACTTAAAATATAAATACAATCAACTGCCACGTAACATCAACAAGCGCTTTTAAATCGGAATAAAAGCTGTCATTTCCAAGCAATTGTCTAGCCATTTACAAAGATTATTTGAAAATATAAAGATTTTTTTATGCCGGTGTTTCCGTTGTGGAAACTTTTTTTACATGTTTTAGACATTATTAATTAGATTCGGCGCGAATGGCATACTTTTGTTACCAAGTCAAGAGTCAGAATTAATAGTGAGGAGATATAGATGTCGACATTTTAGTAAGGCTAGTGTTGCGCCAGTACACCGGCACAGTGTCGAATTTTCTTCCTAATACATATTGTTTTTTAACTGTTTTATAATTTTCACCATGACTGTCTGACTGTCGTTGTACACTTTTTTACACGAATGTCCCGTAAAGTTTCTATAGCGTTGTACGAATTTAGAAGATCATATCAGATTTGTATGCATCTAAATATTATCTGTAATTATGTACATATTGTCTCAATTCGATTACATTGTTACATAAGACTGTTGTCTAAAACATTTTTAATGTGAAAATAAATAAACTATATTTATTAGAACTGTACTTAGAATGGATTAAAGTTTCCTTAACCGTAGGACTACACTGCTGTAAGTATTTGCATATGTCACTACAGTGGAATCCTACAGTAAGGTAATACAGACAGTAATCGACCACTTTTATTATGTTGTAAATTTTAAGTATTGTTCTCGAAATTTATTATATTAGTTGCACAAAAATGTAACTTTTATTTGTGCAAATATTAGGCCTTTATAGCTTTATAATACTCGAAATTGTAAGTACAGTTATTTAGTTTAAGATGTCACTATTATTAAATATATTTTGAAAGCGATAGTTTGAACAGCCCTAAGTGACAAAAGCCATGGTAAAGTTGTTTTAAATGTTAATAGATTTTACATAAATGAACTAAAGGTTGAGAGTATATGGTTGGCAATTTTTTTAAGCTGCAATGTTCTTTAACTTGTAAGAAAGTGTTTTGGGTTTTTTTCTGATTTAGGGGAATCTCATATGACTTTGTATGCAACAATCATTTTGTAATCTGGAGTAAACTTTTTTTTTATTTATATATTTTTTGGGATACTTATAATGTTGAAGAACATTGCGGTTTTTTATTTATTATGTTTTTTACACTTGTATATTTGGTTGCCTAATAAATGTTTATACGTTACTTAGAAGAAAAAATGCTAATATTTTTTTTTTAATTCACAATTCGCATATACAATAAAATTCGATGTGCTGTTTTGTAAAGGTGCAATGTTTTTTTACTTATCTTGACATTTGACATTTTATTTTGATTATATTGAATTTTGCAATCGTATATTTTTGATATTTTTATTATTTTTCAAATTGAAATACTAACGAGTTTACAATAACCTAACCTTAGGTATCCACTGTTAAGTAATTGTGCACGCGTAGTTTATGAGATGTACAGATGTCCGGAGATTTTGTACAATATTTAAACAAGGTAGCTATATACAGGATGATTTAAATTATATTTGCCAAGGAAATCTATAGTCTTCCGTTTTTCACGTAATTTCCGGACATTCTCTACAGAAACAATATTTTGATTTTATTCTTAATTTTATATACTTTTATTTTGGTACGTTAAGGATTGTATGAGACCAGGGGGACCAGAAAGAGTTCATGATCGTTGTTTATATGTGTTGAGTAGAATATTTTTTATTAATTATTGTTGCGTTGTGATCAGAACAGCTAATTACTAATAGAATTTGCACTATTACATTTAAGTATGTGTATGTAAACGGCGGAAACCGCTTGTGCTTAATAAAAAAAAATATTCTAAATTTATTTGTGGTTTTTCTCTGTTAAAGTGGATTTGGAAACAAAATTCACACTCATATGACCGTGGAATTAAAAACAAATTTATTTATATAAATTTAATTCAACATCACAATAAATAAGTAGCACTTACAACTATGTGTTCTATTTACTAATAACAACAACCTATAATTTAAAGAAATATTCTAAAATTGTAAAATTAATGGTGCAAAAAGTAATAGGAAATGGATTTAATTAATTTTACAAATAAGCAAACGGCTCAATTACATAAAATAAAATATTGTTTTTTAATCAATTAAACGATCATATTTCCTATAAAAAAAATGTAAACATGGTATCAATTAATATACTACATAAATAAATATATTTAGATATTATGAAAACAGAGATAATGTAAATGTCCGATCTAAAAATTACGAATCAAGATAAAGACCCTAAAATGTCTACATAGAGTCTAGAGGGAACTAAAATGTCGTAGTTAACATTGACAGATCCAGTGTCTCCCCCTCTGCCAGGTTTGGTGTCCTAGAACTCGTATTCAGATACGATGACGACGAGTCGTGCGAGCGCACTGCCGGCGAACTGACCGCGCTGGTACAACGACATGGCCAGTTCCAGCTCGGCCACCTGCGGTCCGCCAAGTGCGCACAGTAGCGACACCACGCATACGTTGGCGCTCGGTCGCATGCTGGCAACACACAATTTTATTGAATGCCATTGGCAATACAAGAGAGCAGACAATTCTGATGCTTAAGATATAATCAGACTACTTTGCGTTTCAAATTTAAAATTGTATAAAGTTAATTTTTACGATAAGTTCTGAGACACTTACTCGAAGCATGTGAGGTCAGCTGGCTTGACGCCGTTAGGCGCTTGTACGTCCACCAGTCTCATCTCGAAGCTTACAACCGAATCGCGCCATGACGGCCCATGCATTGTGAACAGATCCACCTATACAAAGATTAAATAACATTCATTGCTTCGAATGGAAGAATACAGTACTCGTAATATTAAGATTTATCTATGTATAATTTGTGAATTATCGCTATAAAATACATATAGAATCTTTTAAATACAAATAGTAGTTCCAAAGATTATTATTAGACATGTAGATAGATCGCGTTTTACTCACACTACCCGCTGGCAGGAAGATGTTGGAGACGAATGTGATGAAGTTGTA